TGTTCTTCAGTTCCTTGAGCTTAAGAAATGCTGAGCAAGTTCGGCCCTTTTGATTTTCTGACTATAGCTCCTCGCACAGGATAAAAAACAATAAAGCAGAACTCAACTCATAACTCTAGGGAGGGAGCTCTGGTGGTACAGTCCTTAGCGAATTAAACTGTTAACATAAAGGCTGTTCAACTCCACCAGTGGCTCCATGGGGAAAATGATAAACAATCACCTCCTGTTTGATTTGCAGCCTGGGGAATGGCTTGGAGTGCTGGAGGGTTAGTTGGAGTAGGATATCACCAAAGAACTGCCAGAAGTTTAAGCTGAGTTCAGCAGGGCATGTGGAACTAGGAGTATCATTGATAACATCAGGTGGACATTGGCTCAAAGTAGAGAATACTAGAAAGATGTGTGCCTCTGTTTTATTGACTGTGTAAATACACTCAACTCTGTGGGTTATAATAAATTATACACAACACTGTAAAGAATGGGAACTCCACAACAGCTAAATGTACTCATACAGAACTTGTATACAGAAAAGAACAATATAGGGCTTAAAAGTAGAGGAGGTTTCTATGTTATATCCTTTAGTTATACTTATTCCATCTGTATGCTGAGAAAATAATCCACATTGGAGAATATAAACTAGAACATGGCACCAGGATTAAAAGAAATCCCATTAATAACCTGCAATATGCAGATAACACAACCTTATTTGCTAAAAACTGCAATATGCAGATAACACAACCTTATTTGCTAAAAACAAGGTAGACTTGAAACATTATTGAGGAATATCAAAGACTGCAGACCTTAATATATATTATCCTTCAACATAAAAAACAATCTTCACATATGGATTAAGTAGAAACATCATGATAAATCAAGAAAATGTTGAAGTTGTTAAACATTTTATTTTTAAAAAACATTTTATTTTTTAAAAAAGTTATATTGGTTTGTTACAAAGTTCCTATATATTGTGTTTCACATTACTCCTCATTCATATTGTATTTCATAGTCACTTCCATACATTATGTTTTATAAAATTAATCATCATTGTACCTTACCCATCATTACCCTGCCTTTTCACTCATATCCTTGCCATTTCCATTATCTCCTCCCTTCACCCAAGAAACTGTGCAAGCCTTTTTGCTAGTTGCTGTTGTTAGTTATTGTTGGGTACCATCAAATTGGAACCGACCCCTAGCTAAACATCCAGCAGGTTTTAAGAGGCACTTAATCACACAGGAGGAGATTGCTCATCCTTCTCCCACAGAGCAGTTAGTTAGTGGCCTCAAATTATGTGACTTGGAGATTGCAATGCAGATTCTTGCCACTAGGCCACCAGAGCTAATCCTTCTATTTTTACAATAGTCTTATAAGACTGGTTGGGGGCGAGCCGTCGCAGCCCTCTGCCCTTGGAGGGCTGCCCTCGGCCCTCGGCTTGGGGTGAGCCGTCGTGGCCCTCAGGGTGAGCTCCTCAGTCCCCAGATTGTGCCATCTGACCCCTGGGCGGGGAAGGAGAAAAAAAAAGAATGCCTAGAGTATCCAGAGAATGTTACCTAGGCCACTTTCTGCCACCCTCCCCCCCAGTAAACCTGAAAGCAACACCCTCAAAGCCCTTCTATTTGTAACTCACAAGTTTGTTCTCTCTAGGTTTGCTCCCTTTCCTATAGGTAACCTTAACACTGATTTTTACTCCAGAATTGATCCTGAACCCAGTGCCAGTGACAAAAAGGAAATACAACTGACAGCTAAGGAAGCGAAGGAGGATGGAGCCTCTGGGTTCAACCAGCCATCCCCACTGGACCCACCTGGGAAAACACTTTGCAGTCCAGAGGGGAGTAAATGACAGGAAAATATCTTCTAACAGAGCAAGAAGGCAAGCAGCTTTAACCCAAGACCACCAGTAAGGTGATAAAGCGTCCTCCCTTCCCCCTTTACATCTACGCCCCTGTTCAGCATGAAAAGCCAGAGAGTCTGCATCCAATTCCCAAACCAATAAGACAGTTGGTTTAATTACCATTGGAAAATGCTTGTCATTCCTCTGTAGCATCTCGTTCCCACTGGACCCTCATCATTTCCTTCACCTACCTCCCCCCACTGACCAAACTGTGCAGCTCTGCAACTGCATCCTGGCCCATCTGCACCCTTCTGCCCCCAACCCTCACCTCCTTGTACCCCCAATATGTTTTTTCCCAATATAAAAAATTTAAAAAAAAAAGACTGGTTGCTTGGTTGGTGTTTTGTTTTTTTGTTTTTATTTTTCACTCAGCATAATGTTTTCCAGTCTCTCCCAAGTTAGACAGTATTTTTCTAAATTGTTGCTACTAAGTGCTGCATAGTATTCCATTATTTGAATGTACCACAATTTCTGAATCCATTCATTTTTGATGGACACTTGGGCTGTTTCCATGTTCTTAAGATGGTGATTAATGCTGCTATGATCATTGGTGTACAAGTCTCCATTTATGTCTCAGTTCTCACTTTTTCAGGGTATATTCCAAGCAGTAGAATAAATGGGTCATATGGAATTTCTATATTCAGCTTTTTGAGGAAATGCCAAGCTACATTTTACAATGACACCAACAATATATAAGAGTTTCTATCTCACCACATCTTCTCCAAAATTTATTACTTGCTGTCCTGTCAAACTTTGCCACTGCTACTGGAGTGAAATGGTATCTCATCGTGGTTTTGATTTGCGTCTTATTGTGAACGATTTTGAGCATTTCTTTATGTGACTGTTGGCCATCTCAATTATTTCCCTCTGTGACAATTTTTTCCATGTCTTCTGCCCATTTTATAATTGGGTTACCAGGCTTTTTCTTGTGGAGGACCTATAGGATTCTGTAAACTTTGGATATGAGACCCTTATTTGAAATGGTATCGCCAAATGTTTTTTCCCCAGTCAGTAGGTTTTCTTTCCACTCTGTTAGATAAAGTTTTTTATGTGAGATTTAATCTTTAGAAGGTCTCATTCATCAATTTAATCCTCTCCAGATTGTGCATTCTGCGTGTATTTGGCAGTCTCTTTATTCTATAGACTAGGCTGTCTAAGCTTGATCCTAGTTTGTCTCTGATGAACTTTAAGGTTTTGGCTTTACTCCAAGGTCTCTGATCCACCTTGACTTGATTTTTGTGTATGGTATAAGATGTGGATTATGTTTCAGCTTTCTGCAGGTAACAGTCCAATTTTCCTAGGACCATTTGTTGAAGAAGTTGTCATTTCCCTATTTGATGGGTTTTATTTCCTTGTCAAATATAAGTTGACACTGGTCCTATCATTGTACCACTATTACGCTGTTTTGGTTATTACCATTGCATAGTAAGTTTTGAGGTCAGGGAGTGCTATGCTTCCAATTTCAATTTTGTTTTTTAGAAGTGCTTGTTTATTTGGGGGTCTCTTTCCTCTCCAAATAAACTTGACAATTTCTCTTTCAATCTCCTTGAAAAAAAAATGACTTTGGTATCTGTATTGGGATTGCATTGAACATGTAGATTGCTTTTGGTGAAACTGTCATTTCCACAATACTGAGTCTTCTTATCCATAAACAGTATACTTTTTTCCATTTAGTTAGGTCTTTTCTTGTGTCTTGCAGAAATATTCTGTAGTTTACTTTATATAGGTCTTTTGGGTTTCTAGATAGGTTCACTCCCAAGTAGTATCTTAATTAGTGGTTGGCTATTGCAAATTATATTGCTTTCTTGGTTTCCTCCTCTGAGTTCTCTCTGTTACTGTAGAGGAATCCCTCTGATTTTTAAATGTTGATCTTATATCCTACCATTCTACTAAATTGGCCTACTAGCTCTCACAGGGGTTTTTTGCTGAGTCTTTGGGCTTTTCTGTGTACTCTATCATATCATCTGCATATGCAATAGTTTAACCATCTCTTTGCTGATCTGGATGCATCTTATTTCCTTCTCTTGTCTTATTTCTCTAGCAAGCACTTCAAATACAATATTGAATAGAAGTGGTGACAGTTGGCATCCTTGTCTGATTCCTGGTCTCAAGGTAAAATCTTTCTCCATTGAGAATGATACTGGCTCTTGGTTTTGCGTATATACTTACCACTATGTTGAGGAAATTCCCTTCTATCCCAAATTTTCTAGGTGTCTTTGTCAGGAAGGGGTGTTGGATTTTGTCAAATGCCTTTCTGAATCAATTGCTAAGATCATATGGTTCTTGTTGTTTACTTTGTTAATATGGTGAATGATGTTGATTATTTTTCTTATGTTGAACCATCTTTGCATACCTGTTATGAATCCCACTTGGTCATGGTGAATTACTTTTTTATATGCTTTTAGATTCCATTGGCTAGAATTTTGTTAAGGATTTTTGCATCTATATTCATGAGAGATATTGGTCTGTAGTTTTCTTTCTTGGTAACAGGAGAGACTTTTGTTGTATACTATCCGGTCGGATCTGGCACACAGCTGACCCTCCAGTGAGCTTTCAGAGGGTGTATCACAGGGGATGAGATTACTCATTCTTGTCCCACAGAAAGCAGCTGGTTAATTTGAACTGTGAGTCTTAGGGATTGTAGCACAACTTCTCAGTACTAGGCCACCTGATATCCCTTGAGCTTCCAGAGACAAGTCTATGGTGGGGTTGGGGGGGGGGTGTTGAAAGATGCTGGCAAAGGTGGAAGGTTAGAAAAAGAGAGGAAGAACATCAACAGGAAGGACTGACAGCAATCATAACAAGGTGCTCAAGCATATCAGCGAACATGATGACCGCAAAGGAGGCAAAGTCGTGTCAAAGGTACTTAACAACAAAGACGACAAATGTTTGAAAATTGATAGCCTTTAGTGAGTTCTGATGTCCTAGTGGTAATGAGTTGCACTGCCAACCCAAGGCAGGTGGCATGAATCTACCAGCAGCTACAGGGCAGAAAGATGAGCAGTCTCCCACATCATTTACAGCTTCTGAAAGCCCGCTAGAGGATCAGCTATGCATTGCCTCTAATTTATTGGCACATAACAACTGTTATTTAACAAATTTTAATGAAATAACTCTGAAATGTTGTTTCATGGTTGCTAACTTACCCATTATTGTTAAGGTGTAGAAAAGGACTTTCATTCACATTCATTCTTTTTAAAGGGATACTTTATATATTTCAATACTTTTGTTCCCTAGAAACTCCTACGAATATCAGTGGCATTTGACTGTGTGCATCACAGCAAATTATGGCTGACTCTGAGAAGAATAGGAATTGAGAACACCTGACTCTACTAATGCAAAACCTATGCTTAGATCAGGAAGCATTCATCAGAACAAAGAAAAAAAACATTGCATGGTCCAAAATCAGGAAAAGTGTACATCAGGGATGTGTCCTGTCTCAATATCTTTTCAATATATATGTGGAGCATATCATTCTTGAGGCTGGGATTTATGAGGAAGAATTTGGCATCAGAGTTGGAAGAAGACTCATCAATAACCTGCATTATGCAAATGGCTCAACCTTGCTTGCTAAAACTGAGAAGGGCCTCAAGCATTTGCTTCAGAAGGTCAAGGACTGCAGTCTTCAATACAGATTGTAGCTCAACATCAAGAAAACAAAGATTCTCACCACTGGGTCAATTGGCAGCACCATGATAGATGGAGAGGAGAGTAAGACTGTTAAAAATTTCAGTTTGCTTGGCTCCACAGTCAACACTCTTGGCATCAACAGTCAGGAAATCAAAAGACTAATTGCTTTGGGAAAATTTGCTGTCAGGAACCTCTCCAGAGTTCAGAAGAGCAAATATGTCAGTCTAGAAACTAAAATTTGGATGATACAGGCTTCTCAATTAGTTGCTACACATCAGAGATCTAGACAGTGACTAAGGTTGACAGAAGAAGGATCAATACCTTTGAGTTGTGCTGCTGGAGAAGAGTATTGAACATGTCATGGACTGTTAAGGAGAACAAACAGATTTTTCCTGGAGAGAGTGAAAACAAGTGTTCCTTGCATGCAAGGAATTTGAAGCTCTGTCTAACATACTCTGAGCATGTTGCCAGGAGGGACCAATCCTTGGAGAAGGACATCATGCTTGGAAGGGTAGAGGGACAGTGAAAGAGAGCAAAACCCTGCAGGAGATAAACTGACACAGTAACTGGGGTAACAGGTTAGGTGTTTTGGGAGGCATTGAAATTGGTTAAGGATAGAAAAAGAGTTTGGAGCTATTGTACACAGGATCACTATGAATTACAGGTGACTCAACGAACTCTAACAACAGTCTTTTGTATTTCAGTACTTTTATTCCCTGAGATTATGTTTCAAAAACACATTTTAAACCCTTACCATGCTTGGGAACTTTGGCAGTCTACTTTTAACAAGCTTGTAAAGTCATTTATGGCTGCAACCCAATTTTCATTTTCAAAGTAAAACATCCCACGTTTTATAAGTGCATCTGTCCTTCTAGGATCATAAAAAATACACTAGAAATAGAAAGAATACATAAACATATAATAATTTTTAGAAAAATACTTAATCCCACAGTAAATTAGATATACTACAACTATTTCTTTTTTTAACTTCAGATTGCATAAGATCAAATCACTTTAAGATTCTACAACTTTCAGACTTGTATTTAATTAAGGCTGTTATTTTCAGGAACTCCATTATTCATTTACTTCTAGAAAACGGATGTTTTCTAAGAAATAGGAAAACAAAATACCTATCATGTGTTAAGACATAAAATCTTTTATTTGCTTACAAAGTTCATATACATTGTGTTTCACACTATTCTTCATACATATTATGTTTCATACAATCATTTTCATGCATTATGTTTTGCTAAAGTAATTATCATTGGGCCTTGTCTATCATTACCCTGTTTTTTTCACCTTGGTCCTTCTCATTTCCTTCCCCACCCACCCACCAAACTGTGCAACCTTGTGGTTTCTCCCCTACCATCCTTATCCCTCTGCTCCTACCCCTTATACCTTTGAGCTCCCAATACATGTTTTATTAGTTATCCTTCTATTTTTACAATAATGGTCTTATGCAGCATTTGTCCTTAAGAGACTGAGTTATTCTTGCTGAAAGTTTTATAGACTAAAAATAAAAAGTTGATTGTTCAAGTAGACTTGCCATTGTCATTGTTACGTATCGTCAAATCAGAACTGACTCATACCTGGCCCTCCAGCAGGTTTTCAGAGGCCTTAAATCACACAGGAGTAGATTGCCTTTCTCTGACAAAGCAATTGGTCAATCTGAGTCATTTGCCTTTGAGCTGGCAGTGCAGGCCCTTACCACTAGGCCACTAGAGCTCAGATATTAATTATTTTAACAGCTTTTTATCATAACTGAAGATAATAGATCTTAAACTGATTATTAATCACCACCATGGATGATTCAATTAAGTACAAATTGGGTTTATTCAGTTCTCAAAATAGTGAGAAGAAAGTATTGTTCATTTATTTCTAATATACATATGAAGCAATAAGGTAAACAGACTAAATTATTGTATAAATACATTGCCATGGAATCAACTCCTAACTAAAATGGTCTTACACTCAGCTAAAAAGTGTATAATCTATTGAGAGTAGAAATTAAATCATGAAGTAAACAGGCGTTTTTAAAAAATCACATCTAATTATTCTGAAACTCATTTCATTTCACAGAGCTATATTAATAGATTTTAAATTATCAACATCAAATGGAGGAAGGAAACAAAAAATCTGAAGGAGACAAAGTGTTCTTCTTGTGTGCCATCAAGTCATCACCGACTTATAGCTGACCCTCCAGCAGGTTTTCAGAGGCAGTACATTTCTCGGGAGGAGCTTGCCCATACTTCTCCCATGGAGTAGCAGCAGGTAGATTCAAACTGTGTGCTTTTGGGATTGTTGTGTAACTTCTTACCACTGTTGTTGTTAGGGGCCATCAAGTCAAGTATATTAAATCCTAGCAACCGTATGAACAAAAGATCTTAACCCTGTTCTATTGTGTGCCATCCTCACACTTCCTGACACACAAGACCCCATTGTGCCAATCACCACATCAATCCTCCTGTTCAATGGTCTTCTCCTTCACTGACCCTCCACCCTTCCCAACATCATGTACTTCTCCATATAATAGCACCTCCTAGCAACATGCTCAAAGTATGGGAGGCAAAACCTTATAATTATGCCAGCAAAGAGCACTCTTGCAGCACCCTCTCTAAGAGATATTTGTTCTCTTGGCTTTCCATAGGATGTTTGGTGCTCCTCTCCAACACCACCTCTCAAAGGCATCAATTTTTTTTTCTGTCCTCCTTATTCATTGTCCGGGTCTCAGCTGCATAGCAAGTGATTACAAAAACCATGGCCTGTATCAAGTGTACCTTAGTCTCCAAACTGACATCATTGCTCCTTAGTACTGTGGAGAGGTCTATGACAGCAGACTTTCCCAATACATCTTTTTATTTCCTGGCTGCCAGTGTCAAGAATGTTGATTGTGGAGCCAAGCAAACTAAAACTGTTTACAATCTCAGTCTCTTCACCATCCATCATGGTGCTGCCAATCAGCCCAGTGGTGAGAATCTTTGTTTCCTTATTGTTGTTGTGTGCCCTGGAGTCAGATCGAGCCACAGTTGATGCTAGAGCAGGTTTTCAGAGGAAGTAAATAGCATACTTTGTGCCTATGGGACTGTAACTCAGCTCAGGAGTCATGCTGCTAACTTCAAAGTGGCACCCTTTGGCAATACAAATCCACCAGCAGTTCCATGAGAAAAGATGAAAAATCTCCCATGTTTTATAGCCTCTGAAAACCCACAGGCAAGTCAGCTATGAAACATTTCCAATTCAATTGCAATGATCGCTCTAAAGAAGTTATCAAACTTACAAATATTGTCATCAAGCAGAAGTATGTCAAGGGTGTAGCTCTTGGCCTTTTAAAAAGCAGAAGCTGGGAATATGACAAAATAAATTATTTTAATTATGTCTTCTAAAGTCTCAGTTGTACTAAGAACTAAGAATTTGAAGTTTGAAGTCAGAAGGTAACAGTGAAAATTCCACTGCAATGAGGAATATTTTGCCCTGGCTCTATTGTCAAGTCTAGGTCAGCTAAATATTCACTTCTTCAAAGAAGCATTGTCTGACTTCCCTAAACTGAATACAAAAAGTAGCCCCTCTTATCTTTCTTTTCTTCAAAAAGATCATAATTTACAGATGCATATTTATTTATGCATATGCTTATGCCTTATGCTTATATCTGTCCTTTCCTTTAAATACACACTCTAATAATCCAGAAAAATGTCTGTTTTAGTCATCACCATTTTATCTACTACGTAATAGAGGGCCCAGTCATAACTGAGAGCTCTCGTGGAATAGTGAGATGAACTGGTAACCCAAAGGCCACACATCTCCTGCGATTCATCAGAGCCTGCAAGAGGCAAACATAGCCAGGTTTTCCTAGTTTCCATTTATAGCCTAGGAACCCCATTGTCTATATGAGTCACAATCTATGACAGCAGTGTGATTTGGAGAATTTGTGAGTGACAGTGATTAAATTAGCAAACCAGTGCACATTCCTTCTGAGAACAGAGATTTTTCACTGTAGAAGTGAATAAATACTGTGAAAAAATAATTTTCTATGTTATTTGAAGAGAAGAAGTAATGTCCAAAAGCCTCTCAACCAGTTTTGCAGTTTAAAAGAGAAAGCTGGAGAACTCACATACTCTTAAAGTTGTTTCAGTGACTCCAACCACAAATCTTTGATATGAATACACTTGTTTTCCAAAAGTTTAAGAATCATTGATAGGATTAGTATCAAGAAAAAAATTACAAAAACACTCTTACTTCTAAATTGTAATTCTCTCAATTATATATTGTATGACCTTCAAAGTCTATTATAATATTGGTACAAGAAACTTATGACCTGAAATATAAAATTAATAGTATTATATGCAAAAAAAAACCCAGCTTACTTTAGAAAAGTCATCCATGGCTAGAACCTCGTTTGTTGTTTCATACATCTCACCCCTTCTAAAATATATGTCAGCATCTGTGGGCTTGTATTTAATTGCCTGGCTATAGTTCAAAATTGCCAAAGTAAAGTCATTTCTCATCCTGAAAATTTCTGCCTTTGACAAATATGCTTCTAAAGAAAATATAAAGGGTTAAATTTTAATGTTATGAATCTTTTACTATGAAAACTAAAACATTAAACTCCCTCCAAATATATAGTATCATAATAATTTTTCTATTATACTTTTTAATATTTAACTTTTAAAAACATTTATTTCCAACATTATATTTTTTTCTCAAGGATTGTGCAAAAATATGCATTGGTACTTAAAAATTCTCAAGTGAAAAGATAAAAATGATCTTTCATCTTTCTGTAGGTACAATATGCCTCAACATTTTTAATTTTTTTGCTTTTTAACGCTATTGTGCTAAAATATACATAAAATAAAATTTATCCTTTTAAAGAATTAAAGTGTCCAATTTAGTGGCCTTATAATGTTGTGCAGCCGTCACTCCAATCTCCAGTCATTAAACAATAACTTCTCATTACCTACTTTGAGCTCTGGTCACTACTGTTGTTGTTGTTGTTAAGTGTTTTTGAGTCAAGTATGACTCACAGTGACCATCTGAACAACAAATCTGAACCTTGTCATACCCTGTGCCACCCTTATGACCTCTGACACACTCAAGCCCATTCCTGCAATCATTGTGTAAGTCCACATGCTTGAGAGTCTTCCTCTCCTTCTGTCCTTCCAACTTTCCAAGCAAGATGTTCTTCTCTGAGGAATAGCCTTTCCTAGCAATATGCCCAAAGTATGCAAGAAGAAGCGATATCATCCTTGCCTCTAAGAAACACTCTGGTTGTACTTTTTCCAAGACATGCCTGTTTGTTCTTTTGACAGTGGATGGCTATTCTGTACTCTTCTACACCACCACAGTTTAAAGGTATCAGTTTTCCTTGTCATCCTTATTCATTGTCCAGATCTCAACAACTTAGGAGATTATTTAAAAGAATATGGTCACTCAAAAAAAAAAAATAAATAAATAAATAAAAGAATATGGTCTGAATCAGGCCCACAGCAACATCAATGCTCATCATTTGGAGTAGTCATCCACTACACACTTTCCCAGTGCAATGTGGATCCAAATTGTCGACAGTGTCAGTCTGTTCTCCATCTATTATAATGCCACCTCTCAGGCCACTGACAAGAATTTTTGTTTTCTTGAGGTTGAGATGCAATCTATATTGAAAGTTATTATGCTTGATTTCTTTAGTAAGTGCTTCAATCCCTCCTTATTTTCAGCAAGCAAGGTTGTCATCTGCATAAAGGTTTTTTTGAGTCTTCCTCCATTTCTAATGCCATATTTTCCTTCATAGAGTCCAGCTTCTCAAATAATTTATTCAGCATACAAATTAAATAGGAGCAAAGACAGAACTCTGATCCACACCTTTCTTAATTTTATGTCATGTAATGTTCCCTTGTTCTGTTCACACAATAGCCTCCTGGTCTAGGTATGAGCACAATTAAGTTTTGGGATTCCTGTTGTTCTCACTGTTAGCCATAATCCACATTGTCAAATGCCACTGTAGAGTCAATAAAGAAGAGACATTCTTCTGATATTCTTTGCCTTTAGCCAAGATCCATCCGACATCAGCAATGATATCCCTAGTGCCATGGCCTCTTCTAAATCCTGCATGAACTTCTGACATTTCCCTATCTATGTACTATCCTATCCCTTTTTTTAATGATAACTCAGAAGTATTTTGCATACATGTGGTATTGATGATATTATTCAATAATTTCAATATTCTGTTGGATCACCTCTCTTGGGAATGGGAACAAATATTAATCTTTTTCAGTCAGTTGGCCAAGCAGCTGTTCTCCAAATTTCCTGGCAATAGTCAAGATAAATATTGGCTGCATATGGCAAAGGAGCTCTGATGGCCTATTGGCAAGAAGCTACACTGCAATCCCAAGGTTGCGCAGTTTGAATCCACCAGCTGCTCCATGGGAGGAGGATGGGCAATCTCCTACTGTACAATTAGCTGCCTCTTTAAAGTCACTATAGGCTCAGTTAAGGGTCAGATGCAACTCAACAGTACACAACAACAACAAGAAGTATGGAAAAGGCCATAACTCTGATACACACTTTTTGGACTGACACTTTGTGGTGGCTTATGCGTTACTGTGATGCCAGAAGCTAAATTACTACTATTTCAAATATCAACAGGGTCATTCATGGTGAACAGGTTAGAATAGAGCTCCCAGACCAATTCAGACTAAGAATCAGGAGTGGTCATCCACTTCTAAAATAAAAGACCCTAAAAACTCCTACGAATATCAGTGGAAATAATATGCAGCTATTTATATCACCGACTTTGAAATTTTAAGTTCATCACCTTCTTTTGAGATGAGAAAGAACAAACTTGCTATAATGCTTATCATGACAAACCATTTTGATAACAATATATAGTATCCTTTGAGTCTTAAGTTTATATTTCAAAAATTAAAACATTATTTTATGAAAATCATAATTCTTTTCTTTAGTACACTGATGGGTAGACCAAAAAAATAGGTGACAAAGAGAGATCTGAATTTATAATATGAGTAAAAATTTTTTAAAAGACAGAAATAATCTGACTATCTCCATAGACAACTCACCTGCATGAGTTTTATTATATTTAATTATAAAATTCAAGTCATCCAAAGCTTCATTAATTTTGTCTTGGAAAAGATAAATGAAATGTCGGTGCCAATAAGCGTTAAGAAACAATGGCTCCAAGAATATAGCCTAGGGGAAAATATATAAGCATAAACTAAATCAAATTATTTCTTTTTAAAGCTGTCATCAGTGTAAAGGTATATTCACACAAAATTTTCAAATAAAGTACAAAAACATAAGTTCATAAACAAAACCTAGTGCTTTTATTATTATTTGAAGATGACAACTTTTATACTTATTTACAGTCCAACAAGCTCAATTAAGCACAATTATTCAAAGTTCTGGTAAAAATTACCTTTACGAGCAAATATAAATGTGAATATTGTCATTGTGATTAGTAAGCACTTACTTCCTGTAGATCATGCATGGCACTCTTTAACTTGCCCAGTTTCCTATACATAGCTCCACGCCTACAATATGCAAATGCACATTTGTTTTTCTTCTTATTGATTTCTTCAGTCAAAATTTTCACTTCAGATTCATAATACTTCATGATCTCTGGAGGAAGATCAGACTCCACAAAATCATTTAAATCTATTTGTGGCGGTTCTTTTGTTTCAGGCTTGTCTTTTGGAAGAAATATTTGAACAACCTTCTTTTCTACAGGTTTACGTTTCTCTTCAGGTTTAAACTTAAGCCACATATTAATAACCCATGTACGAACATCAGTATTTCGGGGGATTCCTCCCCTACTTCGAACAAAGTCTTCAAAATCTAAAAGTGAAGGTAGGCTGGGACAATGAATGTGACGCTCATACAGAGGAATTCGGAGCAGATATTTCTTCTGTTCATAAAGTATTCCATGAGACAATGATCTAGTTTTATTTAAAAAAACAAAAAGTGATTTTTTAAATTAAAGAATCATAATCATCCTTTAAACTAATTCAACTACACACAGAAAAAAACCTCTTTCACATTGTTCTTATAGATATAAAATTATTTCTTTTATACACCCAAAATCCTGTTTTTCACTGTATGAAAACTTTATGTAAAGCTAATGAAAGCAAAAGAAACTGTTTTCAAAGAGGCACCCTCATAGAATATGAATGCAGGGTTAATGTTCCTTTCAGGTCAACATTTCAGGTTTAATTTGAAGACTCCATTTGCCATTCCCTCTCAACATAAAATTGCAGTGAAGAACTAAGGAGATAAATCTTGATGTGAGAAGGGAAACTGTAACCAAGATCAGAAAGGACACAAGTTTTAGAAACCAAGAAGAATCAAGGATTGACTAGGCATATAACAGACTACAAAATAAATATTCCAGGCTCCTTTTTTTGTTAGACTGTTGTTAAGTGCAGTCCAGTTGACCAGGACTTTTGGTAATGCAATGACAGCAGATCAGAACCTTGCCCTATACTGCATCATCATCACGATCACCACTATGCTCAAGCCCATTGCTACAGTCCCTGTCAATCCATCTTATTGAAGGTCTTCCTCTCTTTGGCTCCCACTGTCAACAATTTCCTTTTACTTGGATCCACAGTAAGTCAGGATCGTAGGAGACATTTGCATTGGGAAGATGTGCAGTCAGGGACCTTGTCAAATTACTAATGAGCAATGATATCAGTTTGAGGACTAAGGTACACCTGATTCAGACCATTGTCTTCTCAGTCACTCCTTATGCATCTCACAGCTGGACAATGAATAAAGATGACCAAAGGAGAATTGATTCCTCTAAATTGTAGTGTTGTAGAAAAGTACTGAATATCCCAGGGACTGCCAAAACAAACAGATGTCTTGGAGAAAGTACAGACAGAGTGCTTTTTGGAGGCAAGGATGATAAAGTTTCATCTCGCATACTTTGGGAGTGTTGTTAGGAAAAGCTCTTCCTTGGAGAGGGACGTCATGCTTGGAAAGGCGGAGGGAGAGTGAAAAAGAGGAAGACCCTCAATCAGATGGGTTGACACAAGGACTGTGGCAATGGTGGGTTCAAGTGTATCAGAGATCGAGGTTGGCATAGGATAGGATAAGTGGCAGATCTGTTGTTCATTGGGTCGCTGTGAGTCATAAGCAACTCAACAACACCTCAAGACAACAACATACCTTTCCCAGCATGATGCTTTTTTTCCCAGGGTCTGGTCCTCCTGACAACCTGCCCAGCATAGTGAAGACCAAGTTTCACCAGTCTTTGACCTAAAGAACACCCTGTTTACACTTCCTCCAAGACAGATATTTTTTTCCTTTTACTGTATTTAAGATTTTTTTTCATTCATACACATTGTGTTTCATGATGTATATTGTGTTCCATAGAGTCCTTCATTTATATTATGTTGTTTGTTGTTATGTGCTGTGGAGTCGCTTGCGACTCATAGTGACCCTATGTACAACAGCCCTAAAGTCTGCTCTGTCCTGTGCCAATTGCACTGTCTCTGACACTCCCATCCCAATTATCCCAGTCACTGAATCAATCCACCTCATAGAGGGCCTTCCTCTCCTGCGCTGTCCCTCCACCCTCCCAAGCATGATGTCCTTCTCCAAGGACTGGTCTCTCCTCACAATATGTCCAAATTATGTTAGACAGAGCCTCAGAATCCTTGCCTCCAAGGAGCCACCCGGTTTAACCCTTTCCAGGACAAGTCTGTTTGTTTTCCTAGCAGTCCATGGTATTCTCAATACTCTTCTCCAGCACCACAGCTCAAAGGCATCAATTCTCCTTTTATCCTCCTTGGTCATTGTTTCTTTATATTGTGGGGATTTTCTTCTCCTCCCTTACAATCATCCCACCAACAACTACTTCCATAAAAGCATGTAAGCCAGGTATTTCACACATCATGTCCTAGTATCCCCCCCTTTAGATAGCCAACTGCTGGCTTGCCCATCCCTATCCAACCAGGGATATCACTGCTGATAGGAGATGGATCCTCGCTGGAAGGAAAGACTAACGGAAGAATGTCTAATTATGTTTTATTGATTATGCAAAGGCATTCAACTGTGTGGATCATAACAAGTTGTGGCTGACATTGAGAAGAATGGGAATCCTAGGGCACCTAATGCAAAATCTATGTCTAGACCAGAAGGCTGCTGTGCAAACAGAGCAGTGGAATACTGCATGGTTTAAAAATAGGAAGGGAGTGTGTCAGGGTTATATTCTCTCTCCAGACATATTTAATTGGTATGCAAAGGAAATTATTCCAGAAGCTGGACTCTATGAAGAGGAGTGTGGCACCAGGATTGGAGGGAGACTCATCAATAACCTGTATTATGCAGATGACACAACTTTACTTACTAAAAGCTAGGAGAACTTGAAGCACTTGTTGTAGAAGACCAAAGAATGCAGCCTTTGGTATGGATTGAATCTCATCATCAAGAAAACAAAGATTCTTACCACTAGACCAATAGGCAGCATCATTATGAATAGAGAGGAGATTGAAACTGTTAATAGCTTCATCTTGCTTGGATCCATAATTAACACCCTTGGTACCAGTAGTCAGAAAATAAGGAGATGCATTGCACTGAGGAAAATGGGAATCCCAGAACACTTGATTGTACTTGTGTGAAACCTATACTGGGACCAGAAAGCAGTCATCAGAACAGAGCAAGGAAACACTGCATGGTTCAAAATCAGGCAAGGAGTATGTCAGAGCTACATCCTGTCTCCATACCTTTTTAATCTACATGCAGAACAGAGATCATTTGGAAAACTGGGCTTTATGAGGAGGAATGTGGCATCAGGATTGGAGGAAGACTCAACAACCATGACAAAAAGGATAACAAAAGAAGAATTGATGCCTTAGTGTTGTGGTATTGGAGAAAAGTCTTGAACATACCATGGGCCACCAAGAAAACAAATTTGTCTGTCTTAGAGAGGGTGAAACCATATTTCTCCTTGGAGGCTAGGATTTTGAAGCTCTGTCTTACATACTTTGAGCATTTGGCCAGGAGGGACTGGTCCTTGGACAAGGACATCATGCTTGGAAGGGTGGAGGGACAGTGCAGGGAAAGAAGACCACATAGGAGATGGATTAATACAGTATCTGGGGCAATGGATATTGAGGTGTTGGAATCAGTGAGACTAGCTCAAGACAGGGAAGGGTTCAGAGCTGCTATACAATGGGTCACTATGAGTCACAGGTGACTCAATGTCACATAACAACAACAACAACATTGCATTGGGTAAATCTGCAGTCAGGGACTTCTCCAAATTACTGAGGAGTAATGATGTCAGTTCAAGGACTAAGGTGTATCTGATTCAGTCTATTGTCTCTCTGATCACTTGCTATGCATCTGAGAGCTCCTGTATGACAGGAGAAAAATTGCTACCATGGAGCTTGCGGTGTTGGAGAAGAGCACTGAGCATCCCACTGATGGCCAAGAGAACAAACATCTGTCTTGGAGAGGGTGAAGCTGGAGTGCCCTCTGGAGACAAGAATGTTGAGGTTTCACCTCACATACTTTGGGTATGTTGCTAGAAGGTGCTATTCCTTGGAGAAGGACATGATGTTGGGAAGAGTGGAGGGTCAGCAAAGGAGAAGAAGACCCTCAACTAGGTGGATTGTCATGGTGATTGCCACAATGGGATCTTATGTGTCAGGAAGCACAATGATGGCACAGGATAGAACAGGGTTCAGATTGTTGTTTTTTTTCATAGTGTTGCTATGAGTTGCACTCGACACAATGGCACCAAACAACAACAACAACAACAACAACATGAAACCAGTACTCTGAGGAAATAAGCATCCCTTTTGCTAAAGAGTCGTATGTCTAATTTAAAAACTATGAGCATCTGTATCCATAAGCATCAGCCAGTCCAGAATAAGCCATCAGGTTGCAGTGATCAACATGAGTTCACAGCATGGGTTGTCTTCTCTTCGTCTTGTTGGGTTCTGGTCAACTCATCCCCAGCCATCTGTGGTTAGGTTCAAATGGGCAGCAGCTGAAAGCTCAGGAGTCCACACTTGTCCCTGCATTCCAGATCCCTTGGTCTCCTCACTCATGCCTAGCACTCACATGGGTCCAAGTCAATCAAAAGGCCAGGGGTCCTCACAACTATATGCTCCTCAAGTCAACAACCATTCCCTGCTTATCCACGCATCAGCGCAAGACAGATTTGTTTGTTCTTTCAGCAGTGCAAGGTATATTCAAAACTCTTTGCAAATACCGTTATCCAAAGGCATTGATTTTTTCTTCAGTATTCCTTACTTCCCATTTAATTTTCAGATGCATCAGGGCACCCTTGCCTTTAAACTGATCTTTTAGCCCTATAGTGGTCCTTAACAATAGAGTTTCGCACTGCAAAATGTCTGTTTCTTGACAGCTGTTGCCATGAGTACTGATTGTGGATCCAAAATGAGTGAAAAGTTAAATCCTCAGCAACTTCAATCTTTTCTCCTATTATCATGATGTTGTCTATGGGCCCAATGGTGAGAATTTTGTTTTCTTGATGGAGACATGTAATTCATATTCAAGGCTATGGTCTTTGATCTTCTTCACTAAGTGCTTCAAGACTGCTTTGCTTTCTGCAAGCAAGATTGTGTTATTTACAGGTTGATGAATCTTCCTCAAATCCTTTTGCCATACTCTTCTTTAAATAGTCTAGTTTCTTGAATTGTTTGCTGTGTATAAAGATTGAGTAGATGTGAGAAAGGATACAACCCTGAGGCTCACTTGTCTTGATTGTAAACCATGCCATGTTCCCTTGTTCTGTTCAGGCAGCTGCTTAGATTGTGTGGTTTGGGTTTGCTTTTGGTTTTGGGTTATTTTTTTAGAACTCTATATATAATGTGTACAGAGAAGGCAATGTCTTAAAAAGATTTTAACAAAGCATAATCCATATTATTCTGTAATGTATTTTACTAAAAATACCACTGACCAATACCGTAAGTTTAAAAATCCTAGATTTCTTTATATTATTAGTGCTAAACATCTTTTCCTATTTGAGGGGTTGTTCAGTGATTAATAAAGGGTTAAAGCTATTTTTCCCTTGATACACAGCAACCAGTCTGACACAAAATTGAGTTGGCAAGTTACTCAATGGTGTCTGCTACACATCCATAAATGTGAACAACAGTGCCTGCTTACTGGGATTTTTGTAAAGATCAAATTATCTTCATTCATGCAGGTTTAGTTCATCTCTCTAGTGCTCAGAACAGTGCTCAGCACAAGCTAAGCTTTAGGTAACAGTTGATGATGATTGCTTTGCTGATAGCGCAAATACACTATAGTTTTGAAGTTTTGTCTGATTAACAAAAAATTTATTTAGCATTACCTCTTATTTTGGAAGCAGAAGTGGCATCCACTTCCTAAACAACATGCCTCCAGAAACTCTATGAACTTTGATAAATGTCGATAGTTATAGAGGGGATTCGTGACTTTTGTTCATAGGGCTGCAACGAGTAGTGCTCGACTCTAAAACCATAACCTATTATTAGACAAAGTATAAGCTAAAAACTCCCCAAACTCTTGTTCACTTTGAAAGATTTCCACAAAGAACTCTTGCATGCAAAATAAGACCCAAGTGACTCAAAATTAATCAATGTCAGAATATTACTCTAAGGACACACTTATCTTGAAAGCCTTAAGATTGTTTCTTTTAAGCTACAAAAATACTACCAACTAGAACACGACTGGACCAATAGGAAACATGATAGATGGAGAAAAGATTGATGTTGTCAACAATTTCGTCTTGTTTAGATCCACAATAAACATCATGGTAGCAGTAGCCAAGAGATCAAAAGATGTGTTGAATTGAGGAGATCTAAAGGCAAGGACATCTCAAAAGTGCTAAAGAGGAAGGATGACAGTTTAAAGACTAAGGTGTGCCTGGTCCAAGCTATGTTCTTTTCAATTACTTTCTATGCATCCAAAAGTTTGGCAGTGAACAAGTATGACAGAAGAATAACTGATGTATTTGAGCTGTGATGTTGTAGAAGAGTACTGAATATTCCATGGACTGACAGCTAAACAAGTTTGTCTTGAAGGAAGGGCAACCATGATGTTCTCGAAAGACAAAGATGGTGAAACTTTGTCTTACATACTTTGAGCATGTTGCTAAAGAGAGGTTGTTCCTTGGAGAGAGGCATCATCTTTGGAAAGGTGCAGAGTCGGCAAAAGAGGATAAGACCCCCAATGAAATGAATTTAGTGTCCGGGGTAATGTGTTCAAGTGTGTTAGGATTATAAGGATGATGCAGGATACAGGAGAGGGTTCAGATCTGTTCATAGGTTTACTATGAGTCATATTTAATGGAATAGCACTTTAAAAAAACAATAACAAAGATCTTGAAGAGTTTAACAAAAACGGGTTGACTATGGATAACCTCAAGGTTTGAAGGAGCAACAGGTAAGGAATAATTGTGCTAATACTTCATAATAGTTTTTGTACCAGGGATAAGCTACAGTTTTAAAGTGGCAAGTAGCATGTGTAAAAAGTATCAACTCCTAGGATCTGGGTGAAAAGACAGGGTAATGATGGACAAGATCCAATGTTGATTAATTTTATAAAACATAATGCACGAGAATGATTGTATGAAACACACTGTGAATGAAGAATAGTGTGAAACACAATGTCTACAAACTTTGTAAGCAAACCAACAAAGAGAAATAAATATATCAACTCCTCTTGCCATTAAGTCAATTCCAAATTATACTTACTTTATAGGGCAGAGTAGACTTGCGCTATAGGGTGTGAAAGCCTGTAATCTTCATAGAAAAGGACTTATCACATCTTTATCCCACACAGCAGTTGGTAGGTTTGAATTGTCAACTTTTTAGTTAACAACCAAGCACTAAACCAAACTTTGTTAAGTTGTTGTTAAGTGTTGTAAGTTGTTTTTAAGTGTTGTTAAATAACCCACCATACAACAGAGTGAAACCTTGTCCAATCCAGTGTCATTCCCGTGTAACAGGAATACTTGAAAGGTAACACAAGTATTGGTTGGATACTCAAATCAAACTCATTGCTGTCAATTCATAACCAATTCATAGCTGACCCTTCAGCAGGTTTCCAGAGGCTATAAATCACCCAGGAGAAAAGTGCTCATTTTTCTCTAGTGGAGGCCCTGATGGATTCAAACCAGCAGAGAGGTACAGCCTTTCTGTTAACAGCAAAGCTTTGTATGGAGTACATCACTAGAGCTCCCAGAAGGACTGGGTAGACGCAGAAACTCAGCTAAAGGTCCTGGAAGGCAAGGTCAGTCAGTGGTCATCAGTGAGAGTGGCACAGCTCTGTGTCAGTGGGCACTGACTAAAGTCTCCTTTAGTCCCTAGCTGACACCTAGTTTGGGACTCAGAGATCAAAGAGGAGAGAAACTTGCTAGGGAAAGGCTGAAACTGCAAAGTTACCATTTTACACACATGAAATCCTGACCTAACTGAGAAGGGACACAAAAGGGAAATTATAACAAAGGGATGAAATGGAACACGTGAGTCTGATTAATATATCAGTAAGGCTAGGAAAGGAACACAGGTCTTGAATTAATCCAAAGACTAAGTTAAGATTGCTGTTGTTGTTGTATGCCATAGAATCAGATGTTATTTACAGCTGGTTCCTCAGTGAACTTCAGATGCTGTAAAATGCATGTTAGGAGATTGCTCATCTTTCTCCCATGAAGCAACTGATGGATTCGAACTGCCATAGTTCCCTAAATTAAAATTAGCTTTAAGGGGGGAGGAGGAATATAAAATTATACCCTAGGAATAAAAGCTTTTTAAGCTTGCTCCAGAAATATGTTTTAAAGTAACAATTATTTCATATTTCCATCTATGTGCTTAAGCTAACTTTTAAAAAAGAATTTTCAAAATAGATGAGGAAACCTTACTAATAAATAAATATGCCCACAGTTTGTTTTACTACCTCAACCAAAAGGTTCATTTCTCAATTTCACCTGTTGGCAGCAGATACAAACTATAAACCCAGCTAGAATAAATCAGCCCATTATCTCACAGAAGCAACATTTCATTTACTTGTATCTTTTGTATACTAGAAGCCACTTAGATAGTGGCTAGAATGGAGCTATACTTTCTAGTATGAACAACATTCATGGCATATTAAGATCAACAGATGTTCACAGTGCATAAGCAAATTTCTGGTTCTGATCTAAAACATTTGTCAACTTAGAAAAACCTATCTTAAGTCTTCTTAAGACGATCGAACAAGGATTCCAGATAGTCCATTTCAAAGGAACCTGAAGTTTGAGTAACAAGCAGAGGACCTGGAACTTTAATGACATCTCCACAACGGTTGGCCTCTGTTCTTCATTGTCACACTCTGGAGGCTTAGTAATAAGGAATTGCACAGCCTATCCAAAGGAACATGGTTTGGATCCACAAGTTGCCTCATGGGAGAAAAATAGGCAATCTTTTCCTGTGTGGTTTATGGCCTCTGAAAACTGTCTAAAGAGTCAGCTATGTTTCTAACCCAGTGATACATAACAACAACAATGATCCCATGGACTGACAAAAGAACATACAATTTATGTCTTGGTAAAAGTACACCCAAGGTGCTCCTTAAAGGCAAGGAAGGTGACATTTTATCTCACATATTTTTTACATGTTGTTAGGAAAAGAGCATCATTCTTGGACAGGTGGAAGGTCAGTGAAAGAGAGGAAAACCTTCAACAAGATGGATTGGCATAGTAACTGTAACAATAGTAGCAAATGTAGCACAGATGATAAGGATGGCACAGGAGAGGACAAGGTACATATATGTTTTTCATAGGGTCACAATGAATCATAGGTGACTCTGCAGTTTCTAACTACAGCAACATAATTCCCAATTCCCAGCAGGGAGCTCTCGTGGCAAAAAGGTCAGGAGCTGTGTTTTCAACCTATAGACACAGGATTGGAATTCACCACTTGTTCCAAGGGTGAAAAAGTGCAGTCTCCTCCTATGTGATATACAGCCTCTGAAAACTCACTGGAGAGTCAGCTACAAGTCATTTCTCACTCACTGGCACACAACAACATAACTCTCAGACTTCTAAGGGATAATAAATCACAACAAAAGCACATTAACACATTTTCAGAACTTCCAAGTCTTTATAACAATAAACAGAAAAAAGGCACATGTTTAATGAATTCTACTTTTCAAAAGGGCACATGTTTAATGAATTCTGCGTGATCTTACGATATCTAAAGAAAGTTAAACCCAGATGGCTTTTGGAAACTATTTTGCACAATATATGGATCCTAGCAAAGTAAAGTCTTGACCATTTAAATATAAGCAAACCTAGTATTTCAGTTGTTATTATTTAAGGCCCTTCCATATTTTTAAACATTTTAAACATGATAAATATTTTTATCATTTGCATGGAAGTAAAAAATGTGTGTTGACTCTTGAGATGGCTTCACAACACATTCAGGTAGTTTTTCAGAGGCAGTTAATTGCACAAGAGAAAACTACCCATCGCATGGGAGGAGACTGCCCATCCTTCTCCTGTGGAGCAGCTGGTGGATTCAAACCGCACACCTTCGGGATTACAGCGCAGCTTCTTGCCACTAGGCCACCAGAGCTCCCAATTATAGATATTTATATATTTAAATAAAAAGGCTTGTCCTTTATGTGATTATTCAACCTATTTTCAGAACAAAATAATTACTTCAACAGATGAAATTATATGATTAAGGACAAAATATACAATGCCCTTTAAAACATAATAATTACTGATTAACTAGAACCTTTTAAGAATTCTTGGTGGCTTGGATAATTCTTCATATATGGAAGCATATTTCTCAAGACTCAATTGTTTCTTCTGAGTCATCCTCTTTCTCTTGGGATAAACAATGTAACTAATGCCAGCTTGTCTAGATGCTTCAATAAGAGAGAGAGACAAATGTCTAAAATTGTATTTGTCCTGAAAATCTTCTAATATAGTATCTATATCTGCTTTCACGGTGGTGGGCCCCTTGGACTTTGCCTTCTCAGACATCCAACGCTCCAACTCCTTTCTTTTCTGAAACATCACCCCTTCTATATTGCTTTTCGTATCATCAGGCATCACTAACGGAGCTGTGCTCTTCTCCTTCAATTCTACAGAAGACTGTGCTCTCTTATAAGGAAGTAAGGAAATAAAAGTATAGAAGATCAATTTAATTGCTATTTAAAATATTCATTTACAAAATTATTACTAATCTATCTTGATCACTTCATTGAAAATATTTTCAACTACATATTTGTAAAGTTATTGAAAATTAAAATTATAATGCTAATTGAAAAAAACAAAGTACATTAATTTAATTGATTTTATGACAGTTATATATATAAAGAATACTATAAAGTATACACATATTAAATTTTCTTTTTTATGCTTTTAATTTAAAAAGAATGCTTTTTACAGATCCAAATAAAATACATGCCCCACTTTTAATACAACAAAGAATTAGTAGGATGGGCAAAATGTATTTAAACTGTTTATCAAACTGTAAAAACAATTTCTGAATCTACTTTCAAAAGCACTAACATCAAAATTTCTACACCATACTATTCAAGTATGTTCTACAATAATTTTCAATGCAATATGTTGAATTTAATAACATAATTCTAGCCAAATATATGGATAATGTAACTATTTATGCACCATAGTACCAGAAGGTTGGTGGTTTAAATACATCAACATAGAAGTTTCTTAAAAGCAAGGCTTGCTAATATGCTTCCAAAAGATGGCAGTCCTGATAATTCTATGTGGTTCTACTTTGCACACATGGGATTACCAGATTGTTGTTATTTTGATGTTTTGTTGAGTGAAAACTGACCTGTAGCTGATCCTCCAGCAGGTTTTCAGAGGCAGTAAATCACATGAAAGAAGATTGCTCATCTTTCCCTCACAGAGCAACTGGTGGATTTTTGCGGTTTACCTTGGGGGTGGCAGCACAGTTCCTTACAACGAGTCCACTAGAGCTCCCCAGCAAGCTTACCAATGAGAATCAACTCAACAGCAATTAACAATAGCAATATATATATAATTTTAGTTGATCTAATTGCAGATGACTTAATGGTAAAAAATTGCATTGCCAATGCAAATGTATGTGGTTCAAATCCACCAAATGCTCCATGGGAGAAAAAAGGACAATTCCCTATCATGTGATTTACTGTCTCTGAAAATCAACTGCAGGGTAAGCTATGGGTTAGTTCTGACTTGATGGTGATAGTTGTGGTTTTTGTTGTTATGTAACATTGATTCAACTGCGACTCATAGTGACCCTATGTGCATTAGCTCTGAAACCTGCCCTATCCTGAGACAATCTCGTCATCTCTGACAGACCTAACCCCATTGCTTCAGTCACTGAGTCAATCGATCTCATCTCAGGTCTTCCTCTCCTTTGTTGTCCTGCCATACTTCCAAGCATGATATATCCCTCTCCAAAGACTTGTACCTACTGACCACATGCCCAAATATGTGAAACAGTCTCAAAATCCTTGCCTTCAGGAGGCAAGTTGGTTTTACCCTCTCCAGGACAGAGCCGTTTGCTCTCCTGGCAGTCCATGATACGTTCAACACTCTTCTCCAGAACATACAAGAACAATCATTACAGAATCAACTTATCTTAAATGACAACGTTGTTATGTACCATAACAAGTCTTTTGACTTGATAGCTGAACCTCCAGAGGGTTTTCAGGGGCAGTAAATTGCTAGGGAGAAGATTGCTCATCTTTCTCCTATGGACTCTTGTGAATCAGAACAGCAAAATGTTTGTATTGGTAGTATAATTCCTTACCAATAAATGAATTGAGTTCCCTTAAGTGATAATATTAATAATACCATTTACTCAAAACTCAAAAGTATTGCCATTAAGTTGATCCCAACTCAGAACTGACTCCTCAGTGAGCTTCTGAAGCTGTAAACTGTACAGCAGAACATAGACCATCTCCCTATCACAGAACAGCTGGTGGATTTGAGCCATCAGAAAGGTGTCGCTTACTTCCACCCTGACTGCAACACACAGTGAAGGCTTGGGAATTCTTAAGGAGAGGATGAGCCATGGTTTTTCAGAGAACAACATTCACCCTGCTCCAGGCAAAATGGGAACACAAATATACAGGTCCTTGATAGAACATCCCCTTCCCCTGAAATATTACACAATTATAACAGCCTAACATCTACCAAAAAAGATTCACATGATGTCAATAAATCAGTAGGCAGTCTCAAACACTATGAAAAAAACAAAACAACCCTTCTCCTGAAAAAGTAGAGAATAATGTAGACCCAACGAATACCCTAGACATGAAGAATCTGAAGAAATATGTTGAGGGGGAGTTATTTGAACAGCTACAGAAGAAGATGCAAATGATGGGGGAAACAATGGAAGCCATTAGGAAAGCAAATACCCAGAGGCAGGAAACACAAAGAATTCTATTGATGAGGAACATCTTGAACAACTACAGAAGAAAATGGAAAAGATAGGAGAAAGAATTGAAATTATAAAGAGGTACAAGAATTTGAAAGATCATCACAAGACAGAGAGGGTACAGCCAGCACAGTACTGGAAATCACAGAAATGCATTAAAATGCAATCCAGAATAGTAAGACCAAAATGACAGAAGTGTTCAACACATTGGAGAGACAACCAAGTAGAAAAGAAGAGATGAAATACAGAGTCAGTGAGCTAGAAAAGCCTCAATGGAAACATACTAGAAGAAAAACCAAAGACGAGACAGGAAGAAAATATTAGAATCACGTGGGATGACATCAGAAGAACAACATACATATATATATTTGTAATTCCAGAACATGAGAGAGACAGGGATATCACTAAGAAAATTATAGGAAAAGTACTAGAAGAAAATTTTCCAAGTATTATGAAAAACAGAGAAATCTACATTCAAGCTCAGTGGACACCAAACAGATTTATGCCAAAAAAGAAAAACATCAGGACATATCATAGTCAAATTGTCCAAAATAAAAGATAAAAATAGAATACTAAAAGCAGCATGAAGGAGCTCTGGTGGCCTAGTGGCAAGAAGCTCCACTGCAATCCCAAAGGCAAGCAGTTCAAGGCCACCAACTACTCTGTGTGGGAAAAGGAGGAGCAATCTCTTCCCAAGCCATTAAGTGTCTCTGAAAACCCACCAGAGGGTCAGCTATGGGTTGGTTCCAACTCTGTGGTACACACAACAACAACAACAAAAACCGTATGAGAAAAACAAAGAGTCACCTACAAAGGAGAAACAGATTAAGTTCTGATTTTTCAGCAGAAACCAGGCAAACAAGAAGACCCTGAGATGTCATATAAAGAAAGTTGAAAGAAAACGATCACCAGCTAAGAATCCTGTACCCAGCAAAGGTGTTCATCAAATATGAAGGAGAATCTAGGTCATTTGCAGAAAAGAAAAAACTTAAGAAATTTGTGAAAACAACAGCAAAACTACAAGAAATGAGGAGAAAGGCATACTCAAAATCAAAGAAGGAAAGGAAAACTGTCAATAAGATGGACTGACAGTTACTACAATAGACTTAAGCACAGCAGAGATTGTAAGAATGCAGCAGGATAGGATAACATTTCAATATATTGTACATATTTAGGGTCACTCTGAGTTAGAGTCAATCCAATAGCCTCTAACAACAGCAACACAAATATATTCATTCTTAATTATTAATAAAAGAGCCACTGCTCCTCTGTCAGTCTACTTTATTATGGTGGCTTCCATGTTGTGGTAATGCTGGAAGCTATGCTGACAGCATTTCAAATACCAGAGAAGTCATCTCTGGTCAACAGATTTTAGGAAAGCTTCTAGACTAAGGCAAACTAAGAAGCAGTACTATCTATCTGTCCACTTCTAAAATAACAGGCCTCCAAAGATCTTATAAATAATGGAAGAACCTTTTTGGATATACTGGCAGAAATGAACCTTTCAGGTTGAAAGGCACTCAAAAAGAAGCTAGGGAAGAGATGTCTGCTCAAAATGGAACCTATATACTCTATAATGACATGGATGGAGTAAAGCTTTCACCTAATGAAGGGCCCTTAATTTGTTGCTGTGGGAAGACTCAAAATGAGGAAAAAAAGCTACAAATATCCAATAATATCTAGAGCATGTGCTATATGAAATATAAAACCAGGAAAACTGGAAGTTGTCTAAATGAAATGGAATGCATAAAGACCAACAGCCTAAGCATTAGTCTGTTGAGAAGAACTAGGACTGGACATTTCGAATCAGACAATTACATGAGTAAGTATGGCATAATGACAAGTAGAAAAGGATGATCTTTCAGTCTTCACAAAAAGAGCATTGTAAGATCTATCCTGAAGTAAAATGCTGCTAATGATAGGATACTATCCATATGCATACAAGGAAGACTTGCTAATACAACTATAATTTAAAAATATACACAAATACAAGTATACATAGGCAGCGTAGGAAGAAATTGACGGCTTCCCAGCTTTCGTACTTGAAAATGATCAAACATGCACTCAAAAGGTATTAATAATAGATGACTAGCATGTATTTGTTGAAAATACTCTTTTTAAAAAGATAAGCAAATCCTGTACATATGGATTCACCTAATTAATAGACTACACATAATGTCAAAGATACAGCCATCAGCTTCAAACAATCCGAAGAACAAAGCAGGACTTCTTCTAAAAGAGCAAACCAAATCACAAACCCGATTAATACCTTAGAGACAGAAAATTAGAAGAAATATACTTATGTAGAGGTCCTGATAATGATATTGAAGAGTTACAAATAATGGAAAAGCCAAAACTATAAATACAAAGCGACAAGAAATTTAAAAAATATTATAATATAGAGAGAATACAAGCAATACTGCACCAGAAACTACAAAAAAAGCATGAAAATAAAATGCAAAATATCAAGAATGATATTGCAGACATCTTAAATAGGTTGTTTTCGTTAGATGTTTTTGAGGCAAGTATAACTCATGTTGTTGTCAAATGCCGTCGAACCATACATGACTCATAGCGACCCTATGAACGAAAGACTCTTAACACTTGTATAACTTTCATCGTTTCTCATAGAGAGCCTATGAACAATAGAACT